AGGGTAAGGTTTTGGCTTTTTTTTTCCTTTTTTGGATTTTTTTCGCGCGGTTGGATGGAGGCCACATAGGCGATTTCGTCGACCGCGCTTTTGTGGAACGCGCTTTTGACGGGTCATGGAGAGGACGTCTCACTCATAATAAGAGCTGCTGTATTATGCTTCATTGTACAGCCAGCCAGATGTTTAGACTGGATTTGGCAGTTTTATCCACCCCTTGAGTCCTTCCCAAGGATCTGGGATTGGAAGATATGGTTGTTTGGTGGGATTAAAGGTCTCCCCCCCACCTCCCCCCGGGATGTCATGTCCCCAAGTCAAGCTGCCTTTTGCAATTGACTGGTGGTGATTTTGTCATTTTTTTTTGTCAATATTATTATTATTCTCCCTTTCTTCTTCCCCAAGGAGCCTAGAAACATTTCAAAAAGAGTTTAATTCTTCTGGAGCGAGTGGCTATGATAACTTGGACAAATTGAATTAATCTCATTAAAATGAACTCTAATACATTTTTTTAGAAAAAGAATACAGTTTTTGTGAAGAGAGAATGACAATCAAGTAAAATTCTAAAAAGTAGCTACCATGGGGAAGATCACGCAATGCCTCTCGCACCCAAAAATCCCGTTGACCACCTTTGGCTCTTTTTCCAGCTGCTCAACTCAAGAGAATGACAGATCCAACAAATCGTCGCCCCTGGTTTAGCCAGATGTGGCTGAAGACTCACATGTTCCAAGAAGGAGACCAGGAACCAATTCAGTGCATGGTAGCCCTTCATCCTCTGCTGGTGAAGATCGGGGCGGCTATGGAGGCCTCTCTGGTGCTACAAGGGGAACATTCGGAGACTTTAAAAGTTCGAACCTGCCCCCCTTGGGAGGCACCGGTGAAAAGGAGGTGAAAAATTGATTTATTTCACTCGGAATCTTCCCCCCCGGCGGGAGAAATGTCAGTTCAATTTCCACCTCCCTCTGCTCGAGAACTCGTCTCCAGCAACTCTAATTGAGTTTTCAATTAGAAAATGAAGTAGAGAGTGAGAAAACGGGCTTGGCTATGCTCAGAAGAAGCTAAACCCAGACAGTTCAACCAAGGTTCACTTCTAGGAAATAAATAAATAAAAAATAACACGGTTTTGTGGCACCTGAGGGCTAGATAGATTTATAGGAGCATCTGTTTCCCACGGTTGGCTACCCAATGCTTCAAGAGGTCCTCTTAGGGCACAAAACGCCTGGCACAATAAATCCAATATTAAGCGTTTCTATGTTTACTTGGGAATTGCTATTTTTCTCTCTGATCACCCAGGACGGAAAAAAAAACATGCACAAGGTTTTGGCCATTCTTTTCATCGTTTTTCTCAGTGACCTCATGATCTTTCCATAGCTCTAACTTTCAACAATCCCCACCATTGAAGGACGACGAATGGAGGCATTTCAGAGCTACTGAAGAGCCGAGGTTGCGCAGTGGTTAAATGCAGCACTGCAGGCCACTTCAGCTGACTGCTAGTTCTGCAGTTCGGCGGTTCAAATCTCACCGGCTCAAGGTTGACTCAG